ATATATATATATATATATAAGAAATTAAATCAATAATTAATAAACTTCCAAAACAGAAAATACCAATTCACTGGTAAATTTTACCAAACATTTAAATAAGACATTATACCAGTTTCTATGAGGCCAGCATCATCCTCACACCAAAACCAAAGCCATCACTAGAAAGGAAAATTACAGACCAGTATTTCTCATAAACATAGGCACAAAATCCCCAACAAAATATTAGCAAATCAAATCCATCAACATATAAGAAGAATTATACACCATGGCCAAATGGACTATATTCCAGGTATGCAAGACAGGTTTAACTTTCAATAATCAATTAATGGATTTCACCACATCAACCAGGCTAAAGAAAAAAATAATCATATAACCATATCAATGGATGCTGAAAAAGCATGTGACATTCAACTAGAAATAAAGGAGAACTTCATCAATTTGGTAAAGAATACTTGCGAAGAAACCTACTAATATTTGCCAAAATACTTAATGGTGAAAAACCAGATGCTTTCTCCCTATGTTGGAGAACAACACAGGATGTCCCCTTTCACCACTCTCTTAAACATGTACTGAAAGTCCTAGCTATACAATAAGGCAAGAAAAGGAAATAAAAGCTATGTATATTGGGAAAGAAATAAATGAAGTCATCTTTGTTTACAGATGATATGACTGTCTATGTAGAAAATCCCAAAGAATTGACAAAACAAAAACAAAAAACCAACCCAAAACCTCCTAGAACTAACAAGTGATTATAGCAAGGTTGCATGATACAGGGTTAATACACAAAAGTCAACTGCTTTCTTACGTAACAAGGAATAATGGGAATTTGAAATTAAAAACACAACATCAATTACATTAGTATGAAAAAATAAAATACTTAGGTACAAATCTAACAAATTATGTAGAAGATCTATATGAAGAAAACTACAAAACTCCAATGAGGGAAATTAAAGGAGACCCAAATAAGTGGAGAAATTGTCCATGTTCAGGGATAGGAAGACACTATTATGATATCAATTTTTCCCAACTTGACCTATAGATTAAGTGACATCCCAGCAAATTATTTTGTGGATATCAACAAACTGATTCTAAAGTTTATAGAGAAAAGCAAAAAACCCAGAATCACCAACAAAATACTGGAGAAGAACAAAGTTGGAAGACTGACACTATCTTCTGTCAAGACTTACCATAAAACTACAGTAATCAGGATAATGTGGTATGGGCAAAAGAACAAACAAATCAGTGGAACAGAATATAGAGCCCAGAAATAGAAACACACAAATATGGTCAACTAATCTTTGACAAAGGAATAAAAGCAATTCAATGGAGAAAGGATAGTCTTTTTCACCAAATGGTGCTGGAACCACTGGACACCCACATACAAACAAACAAACAAACAAAATTTAGATACAGACCTATATCTTTCACAAAAATTAACTCAAAATCAATCACAGATCTAAATGTGAAATAATAATTACTATTCACCGTTTAGAGGATAACAGTGGAGAAAACCTAGGTGACCTTAGGCTTGGAGATGACTTTTTACATACAACACCAAACACATGAGCCATGAAAGAAGAAATTGTTAAGTTGGATTTCATTAAAATTAAGACTTCTGGTCTGCAAAAATGACTTAATAGAATGAAAAGACAAGCCACAGACTGGGAGAAAATGTTTGAAAATCACTTATCTGATAAAGAATAGAATACAAAATATGCAAAGAATTCTAAAAACTCAACAATAGAAATATAAACAACCCAATTAAAAAATGGGCAAACGATCTGAACTGTCACCTTACCAAAGAAGATACAGAGATAATCATATGAAAATAAGCATATAAGCATATGAAAAGATTCTCAATATCACAAGTCATCAGGGAATTGCAATTAAAACAATTAGATAGGGGCTTCCCTGGTGACGCAGTGGTTAAGAATCTACCTGCGAACGCAGGGGACACGGGTTCGAGCCCTGATCCGGGAAGATCCCACATGCCGTGGAACAACTAAGCCTGTGAGCCACAACTACTGAGCCTGTGCTCTAGAGCCCGTGAGCTACAACCCTGAGCCCGCGTGCCACAACTACTGAAGCCAGCGTGCCTAGAGCCCGTGCTCCACAACAAGAGAAGCCCCCACAATGAGAAGCCCATGCACCGCGACAAAGAGTAGCCTGCGCACCACAACAAAGAGTAGCCACCGCTTGCTGCAACTAGAGAAAGCCCGTGAGCAGCAACGAAGACCCAACTCAGCCAAAAAATAAAAAATAAAATAAAATAAATTTTAAAAATGAAAAACAATTATATACCACCACACACCTATCAGAATAGTTTAAATCCAAAACAATGGCAATACTAAATGTTGGCAAGGATGTGGAGCAACAGGAACTTTCATTCATTGTTGATGGCAATGCAAAATGGTATAGCCATTTTAGAGGATGGTCTGGCAGCTTCTCACAAAACTAAACATAGGTTTACTATATGATCCAGCAATTGTGCTCCTAGATATTTACCCAGATGAGCTGAAAACTTGTGTTCACATAAAAACCTACACATAAATGCCTATAGCAGCTGTATTCATAATTGCCAAAACATGGAAGCAACCAAAATGTACCT